CATGATCAGTCAAGCAGGCAAGACATTTTAGTGTGTGCACTCTTGTTTGCATATATTGTTGAACCAAAGTCTTATATTGCCTTTAAATGACCATATTCCAGTTATTGTGTTTATGCATAGTTAAGGTGTTACTAACAATCCCTATTTATTGCCTTGCTGGGTCAATGATCTCTTTACTTTTTTTTTATTTCCTTTTGCACATCCTATATTTATTTCCACCTATATTTCATGCAGGGAGACATGTTATTGAACTGGACATCCGTAGGTAGCAAAAGTATGTCACCAAAAAATCTACTATGGTTTTTCATTGGAACAGAAAAATACTTAGCTATGTGTAGTTGTGCATGACATTTTTTAACTTATTTTGATCTCATGATTTTTGGGAGGTTGTGATCAGAAAATGTTGGCCTGCCTTTTTTTTCACATATGACTATGAACCGGTTTGAAAGTTTGCAATTACAAACCCTCTAACGCTGGGCTGAAAAAGAACCCTTTCATACCATATGTAGTTTTAAAAGACATATTTTTACCAGAAAGTTAAGCAAACAGCAATCAGTCAATAGCAATAACTTCATTAGTTGTAGATAAATTGCAGGATTCCCTTGTCTTTGCTTATCGAACAGAAAAATGTATTTAACTCAAACTTATGTCTTTTCTTCTATGTAGTAATTAGTTGTGCATCCATACCTCGGTTTCTACATTAAGAATTCCTTTGATAAGATTGAGGGAAATTCTTGAATTAAGAAAAGTGCCTTCAGCCTGCTTTCTCTTTAAAGCAATTAGTCAAACCTAATATCTTCTTTAATATGTAGTGAACTTTGTGTGTAATTTATTTGATTTCTGTATTCTGGGTTCTTAAAATAAGAATTATGTAAGAGTCTAATTTGAGTAGTCCTGTGTATCACGAAAGATCTGTTTTTCTCAAACTGAAATTGAATTTAGCCAAACCCAGTTCTTTTACCAGGTAGTGTAGTGTACATCCCATATTTGTTGTCTGCATTGAGATGGAGGTAAAGGAGGTATGTGCATGTAGGAACAGGAAATAAACTTGCAATTTCATGATGATGGAAAAATAAAAGAATAGCTTAAAAGTTGCTTTTTACCAATTTGCACGAAACTCTGTGGATAATGAGCTCCATACAAGAAAACATGAGATAACAATTGCAAATACATTGCAGAAAATAACCTTTTACCTCCTGCATTGAGAATTCCTAAAACTACAGAAAATAAAAGTAGGGGTAAAAAAAGTGTTCCAATGGAAATGAGATGTACTTCTTCTAAACCATTGAATGGATTTAGTGGCTGTCCCAAAGCCTAACTAGTAGTTCTAATGTGGTTTAATGGAGAGTACATCTGTATTTCAGACCACGGAACATAAATGGCTTCATTTTGCATATAGTTTTCCACAAGGTTGTGTATATCAGTTCCCCTACAAATATATTTTTAAAACCTTATATTTTGGCCATTTTTATTGCTGAATTGCATTAATAGCTGTGACAGATAACATTGAAGACTCACATCTTACTTTCAACATGAATATTTAAACTGAAATAAAAGACAGATAGATGTTTATTGCTTTCATCATTTTAGAAATGCTAGTTTTAGCTCACCTGACCCAATGGGTTCGGTAAAACCTTCACTTGGCATCTGTTCACAAACTATGTTTCAAAATCTACATTGAAAGGACAGTCTGTTGTAGGTAAAAATATTCTTAGAATGTCTGTTGCCACTCATATGTCTTTAAGTATGTTTAGATATCGGTGATTGATGCATGCTTAGTAGCAGGCATAAGTGGTAATTTTAATGCTTTAAAACTTAATAATGGGAGATCTATTGTATGCATCTGGAGTCATTATTATTACATGGTCCCACTAGCATTATTAATCTTACATTAGACAAGAAAGAAAATACTTAAAAAATGATTTCTAGTTCAGGTTATCAGTTGTAAGGACAGGATCTTGTCTGGTAGATATTTATTGTTTTAATTGTGAAATATTAAGAGATACATCAATTTTTTTTTTTTCATTCCATTCTATTTTTTTATTGTTGTTTCTTATGATTTCCATGTACCTTTGTGCTTTATTAGTATAAAACTGTATACCTTTGATTTTTTATTGGATAATACATTAAAATGATACAGGAATTACAGTCTATCCCAAACGTTATCAGTCCGATGGTCCTGACAGATAAATTTGATGTCTGATTGCAAAATCATTTGTTGTTTATTGGTTGATTATAGTGATGTATTAGCCTGTTTTAGTGCCAGTTTATAGGAAAAGGTGTGATGCCACAGCTTACAATTGTACTAAAATCGTTATATTTATCTGAATTCGCTGCTTAAATTCATTAAATAGTCCTTAAAAAGACTTTACAGGTGTTAATTACTTTTTCATTTACTTATTTTGCAATCAACACTTTCACCATACTGAATAAGCAGTAACCAAAACCCTGATACTGGTAAATTCTGAGTTTCCAGATAAGGTTGTTTCATTTTATGCAGGAGTTCGGAAAATCTGATTTCACTGGCAATAGTCTTTTTCCACTGTACATTGGTCGAGTTGGTGGTAGCAAAATAAGAATTGATAATAAAATCATTTCCAATTGTAAGTAAGATTTAAATAATATTTAGGGATTTAAAGCCTTGGACTAAATGTTAGACAGAAACTCATACAGTTTGGCACAGACTGGAATTTCCTAAAATTATCGACAGCACAACAAACCACACCAATCACCATCATCAGTCTCCTCCCCAAAATAACAGACATATACCGGTAAACAAAAAGCAAAAAAAAAAAAAAGTGAACAACACATGGTCCAGATAACCTGACTTTGAACAGACATGGTGGGCAAGTTTAACATGTGCTCCCTATATAGGCTGTATTTACAAAACTCCTCTTTTCTGAAGCTACCAGGCCAACTGCAACTACAATCATTTCATATGCGAAAATGTTCAGAATGTCGGATCTACCTTCTGTCCATTTGGACTGAAATGGTTAGACAATTTCCTTATTGGAGTTATTACCCTTAAATGGCCATTTTTTTTTGTGTCTAATTTAAAAAAACTTTTAATAAACAAAGGGAAACTTTAAACTTCAAAAATTATCGTCATGACAAGATCTAACCAAAGATTTTTTTACACAACTTTTTGCATATTTTGCAACAACTATAGTAGATAGAGAGAGTTGTAAACAGCATAGATAGACTGAAACAGACTGAAACTTTGAACAGCAAAAATGAACAGCAACTAAGATCTACAAATAATTCAAATGATTGCCCCTTAATCACAGTTTTAATTTTTACCTAACTAAAACAGACAGACAAAAACATGACAAGATTTTTGCACACACATTTTCCATTCAACCCATTTATTCTTTTTGCATTGTATCAATTTAAAAAAAAATGCTAGGTGAGAAATACAGGCCCCTTGGAGCCTCTAGTTTTGTATAGTGTTCTGGAGTATATAGATCATCATGTAAGTTTTCAAGCTGGGGATAAATGCAATAAAATTATTAATTACAAAATGATGCAATAATTGGTGAAAGAAAGCAGTATATGACTCACTTTGTAATTTGCCTTTTTATATTCAATTGCATAATCACTGTGCTTACTTTTTCACTAAAAGCCAAAACTTTTGCTTTTTCAAATGCTTAAGAGCTCTTTTCTCTTTTTGGCTCTAAATTATGTTGCAGTATATTTTTATAATAAATTGATTTGTACAGGATTTCCTGCTGCACATCACAACATTTTACAAATTCTTGTTAATTATAAGATTTATTGATAATAGTAAAATTACCAAAGTCTTCATTTGCAGCTAGCTTTATGCCCTGTGATTATGGTGATAGAATGCACCTGCTTTCATAAACCGCATGTCCCCTTCCCTTGCAACTGCATTCAAAATTATCCAATCAGATTTGATGACTCTTATTTATTTTTCTGCCAATTTCAGATGCTGCCTATAAGTTGCAACATGGCAAACAAATGTGTTTAGTTCAGGGAACTGATGTTATCTCCCCTTACTGCTATACCTTATGCCCTTAAGGTTAAAATGAAGAAATTATTTGCATAGGCGACAATGGTAGCCTTTTTGGGTTCTGCATTTTCCCTATAAAATTTTTTTTGAAAAAACTGAACTTATGGCTTTTCAACACCTTCGGGTGTGAATAAATCCACAAAACACATATGGTGCCGCAGCTTTTTTGATTGAAAAATAGAATTTTTTAAGGGTCCTCTTTGGTTCCAGAATTTTTGAAATAGTATGAATGAAGAACACTCCTTGCTTAATTTTGCTCATCACAAAGAGTTTCCAACAAATTTCTCACTATTTCAATTTTCTTTTCTTATTAACAGGGCAGCAGAAATTAAATTTAATTTTAGCTATTATCTTCATGTCATCTTTATTTACTTCCTTTTAATCTATATCATCTATATGCTGTTCAAGTGAAAAAAAAGTTAAACATACAATGGAAGGCTGTGAATCAAGTAATGGATACCATATACTATAATGGGACTGAACATAGATAAATTTGTAATTTAGGTCTAATCTTCGATGAACTTTCCAAGGTCTAACTCTACTTAACAGAAAAATTAAAACTAGACAGTGAAGTCTGCCTACAAGAAAATATAACAAAGGTCATGTAATCTATTCAATGGTGTCAAGCAATTAGAGTAACTTCAACTGTATGAGCTATAATCATTTAGACACTATTGAAAGTTGTGTCCAAAGAAATGGCAAAAGTTTAATATGTTTAATTTTACTATTTCCTGTCTACTTAAGTTAGCCAAATATGAGAGTTTTCCCTGCAAACACTGGTGGGTGATGGGAGGGGGGAGTAATCAACAGAGGTTGCCAGACATCAGAGAATGAAAAGAAAGTTAAGTCATGTTATATAATAGGTTAAACATCAATGAGGCAGCAACCTTAAAACACAATCAAAATAAAAAAAGATATATATATGTATTTCATATTTTTATGTTCTAATTGATGCTTTTGTTAATTTCAGTTTACTGTATGGACTGTAAGATCAATTTTGACAGCAATGCAGAATACAGACAAAAAGACATTTTTACTTTACAAGATTGGTCGCAGGAGGATAAGAGAGAGCACATAGCAGCTGGACACAATTTAAATTACATAGGTTTAGATGGAAATATTGGATGTCTTGTCAATGGTGCAGGTTTAGCTATGGCTACAATGGACATTATCAAATTACATGGTGGTAGTCCAGCCAACTTTTTAGATGTTGGTGGTGGTGCCACCTCAAATCAAGTAATGGAAGCTTTTAGGTTAATTACATCAGATCCAAAAGTAAGTATAAAATCAATAAGGTTTTTTGTGATGGACACATACACAGTAATGTGTCTTAAAAGTACAGGAGATTTTGGTGTAATTGCCAAATTACTATCAACTAGACATAACTATATAGAATCATGTGCAAAACAGTGTAGCCGAGACCATTGATTGGCGCGCTAAAATATCCCATTGACTGGGTCAGATTAGGTGAACGTTCGTCTGTAACGCCCACAACTCACGACGTATTCATTATAGACATTTAAACTGTGGGGTCACCAAAGGGTCTCAACGCCTAAATAAAATAATTCGAAAAACTAATCAGGAATAACCTTTGTGTTTTGATTTATGTTGAATACTTAAACGTTCTTTACTTGTGTTTTTGTTATGTTTTGATAATGAATTTTTATGATATCGGACGTTCTTTCAGCAAAAAAGGATTTAACTGGCTTTAAAAGTTACAATAGATGTGTTGATTATTATCTTTTTTTCGGACGTCAAAGCGATTAAAACAATTGCGGTTGTCCAATTATGTCATCTTTAAACTTTTATCTGGTCAAAATTTTATTTTAGAACGAATGCATGATCAACTTTAAAAAGTGTGCAAACACAAAACATATAGACAAAATATACTTCTTTCCTGTCTTTTTCGTACTTGCAAGTTATTAGACAGTAAAAAGGCTATTTGGATCAAGCCTTGTGAAATTTGCATTTACGTTTTTAATAAGGTAAAATGTATAGTTTGGTGATCTTTTCTGCTAACTACTATACTTGTGAAAAACCCTTGGCAACAGAAACATATTCAGCTTTTTTTTTAATCGACCCAATTTACATAGTAATGGACGACTTCGTACATTTTATTATCGCAAATAAAATATGTATATAATATACTGTGCACTGTAGTTCGTATATATACTGAGACCCTTTGGCAACCCCACAGTTTAAATGTTTATAATAAATACATCGTGAGTTGTGGGCGTTACAGACGAACGTTCACCTAATCTGACCCAGTCAATGGGATATTTTAGCGCGCCAATCAATGGTCTCGGCTACACTGTTTTTCACATGATTCTAGTATAAATACTTACGTTCCAATTTCCCCAAAAAATATCAGATGACTTTTACTATGAGTATTTACCCTTAAAAGACTATTTTTTATGTAATTTTTTGTTCACCTTTCCAAAGGAAATGTGAGCTTTTGCCATCACTTGGCGTCCATCGTCGTCTGTCCGGTGTAAACTATTTCAAACATCTTCTCTTCTGAAACTACTGAACCAATTCCAACCAACTTGAGCTGAATGATCCTTAAGGTATCTAGAATAAAGTTTGTGTTTTATTTTCTGTTTCGTCAAAAAACATGGCCGCCATGGCTAAAAATAGAACATAGGGGTAAAATGCAGTTTTTGGCTTATATCTCAAAAACTAAAGCATTTAGAGCAAATCTTACATTAAAAATGTTCATTAGGTCAAGTTCTATCAGTCCTGAAATTTTCAGATGAATCTAACAACCCATTGTTGGGTTGCTGCCACTAAATTGGTAATTTTAAGGAAATTTTGCAGTTTTCCCTTATTATCTTGAATATTATTATAGATAGAGATAAACTGTAAACAGCAAAAATATTCAGCAAAGTAAGATCTACAAATCAGTTTATATGACCAAAATTTTCAATTGACCCCTTAAGGAGTTATTGCCCTTTAATGACAATTTTACACAATTGGTTTATCATGTTTTCTAACTTTAAAAAAAATCTCCTCTGAAACTACAGAACCAAATTAAACCAAAATTAAGCTGAATGATTCTTGGGTTATCTAAAATAAAGTTTGTGTTTTATTTTATGTTTCCTCAGAAAACATGGCCGCCATGGCTAAAAATAGAACATAGGGTAAAATGCCGTTTTTGACTAAAGCATTTAGAGCAAATCAGACGAGAAATTAAAGTATTCATTAGGTCAAGGTCTACCTGCCCTGAAATTATCAGCCTAATAGGGTATCTGATTTTTAGGTTATTGCCCCTGAATTGATGGTTTTAAGGAAATTTTGCAGTTTTCACTTATTATCTTGAAAATTATTATAGATAAAGAGAAACTGTAAACAGCAAAAATGTTCAGCAAAGTAAGATCTACAAATAAGTTCCAATGACCAAAATTGTCAATTGACCCCTTAAGGAGTTATAGTCCTTTAAAAACTATTTTTCACAATTTGTTCATCTAGTTTGCTTACTTTAAAAAATCTTCTTCTTTGATACTCAGCCAAACTTGGGCTGAATGAGTTTCAGAGTATCTAGTATAAATTTTGTATTTTATTTCCTTGTACGTCAAGAGACATAGCCACTATGGCTAAAATTGAACATAGGGGTAAAATGCATTGTTTTGCTTTTGAAGAAAATATGACAGATACAAAGAACATTTAAATGGCATTTTTAAGCCACTCAGTAATATATATTGAAAAGCAAAAATAATTGATGAAAGATTTAAGCAAAAAATTATAGGTGAGCGATTCAGGCTCTTGAGAGCCTCTTGTTTATTTTGGCTATTATCTTGATAATAAGATATATAGAGAGAATAGTGAAAATGATCAGTAATTTAAGATCTACAAAAGAGTCAACGGGACATAATTTATTTTGCGTTTTTGTATATTACCCTCTTAACTATAATAGATAGAAAGAAAACATAAGATTTACAGAAAGCATGATACATACATGATTGCAATAAAGGTAAAAGTAAATATCAAATGGCACATTTTTAGGACACAGTAAGATGAGTGATTTAGGATCTTAAGGGCTTTTTGTTTCTGTATGAAAGTGACTGTTATGTATCTAGAACATCAATCAAAATGTTTAATTTTAACATAGACTAGCTTTCTCTGGCGGACATACGTATTGCACTTTATATGCCTTTGGATATATATATACATGTATATAGGTGTTTTAACTAATTTTTGATAATGAATATATATATATAATTCGTCTATAATTTTGCTTAAAAATGTTAGATCTGCAAGTTTGCCTTCTTCCATTAGCGGGATTCAAACCCTTACTTCTGTGACATTGTGGCAACACTGCCTGCACTGAGATGTCTGTTGTTTTCTGTTTGTATTTCACTCAAAAGTAAATTCCTAAATTGTCACTATAATTATATGCTCTATTACAGGTACACGCTATATTGGTGAACATATTTGGTGGAATAATGCGATGTGATGTGATTGCCCAAGGGATTGTAGCAGCTGCATCAGAATTACATCTTAAAATACCCATCGTAGTTAGGTTACAAGGTAATATTTCTAGGGATTAGGTAATGTTACCTTTCTCACTTGCATTTTAATAGTGCTTTATTTTTACAAAATTTAAAAAAAAATGTTTATTTTATATTCAACTCAACCAATAGAACTTGATTCTCCTGACTGAGCCCCAAAAATTTGAAACTTTTTAGAAAGACACCCAAATTTTACCAGTGGGTAGTTGAAGTTGGGATGTTTAAAAGGCATATATCGTCAATGATTTATAATAATTTCTTCATTTAACCATAAAAAGATAAAACATCAAAAGAATAACATTTAAATGATGAATATTTATATAAGCCAATTGTCCGATTGCTATTCTGTCATCTCAAAGTTGTTGTCTTAAGGGTATCATCCAGTTTCAGTGGAAATTATTACAATCATATATTTTCTGGTTTTGCTTTTCCTAAAGTACGACTCAGAAATGAATCGGATTTCAACAAAAAGAAAATTTTTGTAGATATAACTTACAAGCTGATCTTTATTTGAAAGGTATAAATATATTTTGTGTATCAAGTCCCCAGTATAGAAGGAAAAAAATATAAAAATTATGAGATTTGGTATGATTACCAATGACACAAATGTCCATTAAAGAGTAAATGATCACATATTACAGGTCAGCAAATGCTTTCATTTATGAGCAAAACCCATACCGTATAGTAAGCTATATAAGGCCCGAGGATGACCAACTATGAAACAGTTCAAACAAGAAAATCAAGGCCAGCTTTATACTAGAACAATAATTAGCATATAAATAATCAAGGCAGACATCAACTATCAACAAGAAGTGGATTTCGGGTTTCTGGCTTGAGACAAGCACATACAGAATTTGGTAGTGTCAAACATGTCTGTGATTGCTCAACCCTCCCATAACATGGGACAATGGTATTACAACTCAAAATAAGATAAACTAAAAATCAGTTGGAAAGGGCTTAACTCTCCAGAACAATACTTAGCACAATACAGATAACTGTATGTTGACCTGTGGATATTTTTTGGTTTTTTTTTGTTGTTAGTTTGCTGTCTCATTGATGTATCTATATTACTAAATGAATAGAGTTGAAATTGGGTGTAGCGTTTTCTTCTTTCACATAAAATCCATGAATATTGTTTTATACCACAAAGGAGTAATGACCGTATTTGGTGGTAAAAATTGGAAAAAAGCCTGTTCGGACCGACCGTCCTTCACGATGTTCGGCTCTGAAATTTACGTGCCGTCATTGCACGTCTGCCCAGCAAAATTAAATTTTATTTCGTAGCAGATACGGTAAATATTGACCTTACACTAAAACACTTTGTGATACACCCTCCTTTGACGCTCTCAGCAATTTAACAACAGATTTTTACACGTCTAGAGCTTTTCCTTCCGGGGAACCGCATCAATTCAACATGAAAAGGGTGGGGGATTACTTCAGTTTTCGGGTAAAAATGGGTATCGAAGTGCGGCTGGAATGTGACCCAACCCCATTCATATATTAATGCATAAAATTTTCAGCCCACTCATATATGGGGGTGGTTCTGAGCACGAGCACACCTGAAATCAGATGCAGATTTACCTTACACTGAAACACTTTGTGATACACATTCCATTGACGCAATTTAACAACAAATTTTTACACGTCAACAGCTTTTCCTTCATGGGAAACCGCAGCAATTCAACATGAAAAGGGTGGAGGGATTACTTAGGTTTATTTTTTTTTAACAAATCAAGGTCAGCAAATTTTTTGTTTTCACTCTATATGTCACCAATTAAAGGTATTTATAAACACATATTATTTTGATCAGTGCAATGCATATAGGGTATAACAATGAGATATCCTATGATTAGATCACAAACGCCAATAGTTTCTGTCGGGAAGACTATTCTTTACGGTGTCATATTGAGTGGTGGAATTTGTCTGTGACACATTTCAAAAAGATTTAAGAACTTAATATCGCCTTACACCAAACCTATATATCTTCAAATTATGAACCAAAGTATATTTCACGGGTATTTTCTAGTACCCAATATTTCCTTTTAATCATGGGCCTCGATGGCCAATTGGTCGAAGTAGTCGAACTACTGTATCACTATCCTGTCAATACTGGGGTTGTGAGTTCGAATCCTGTATATGTGGCAGGTGAGCTCGACTAGGATTGTTATTTTTCCTAGGTCTATTGTTCTTTCCAGGCACTCTGGCTTCCTCCACCAATATGAACTGACCGCCACAAAATAGCACAATAGTGCTGAAAGTGGTGTTAAACACCAATCAATCAATTAATCAGTCCTTTTCGTATTACAAAAAGACACAAACTTTCAAAATACCAATCTTATGAGTAATTGCAGGTACTGAAAGTTAGACCAAGCCCTTTTATCAATTAATAAACAGATTTTATGGTTTAAAAGTACATTGTATTTGATTAATAAACTTATATGATAAGCCAACTTTAAAAAAAAAGGAAGGAATTTTCAGATTTTTAGAATTCTTGTATAACTCTAAATTACCGTCATTCAGACAGATAAATATTTAGATGAAAACTGAGAAATATATATCATCATTTTAGAAGGTAAGAGTGTATTTGTTTATGGAGTTATTTATTTTCGTCATATTTTACATGAGCATATAAGAAAGATGCAATAGCATTATTGAGATCTATGGATGCAGTAGATACAAAGACATTTTTAAGTGCCAGTTATCCACTACATGTACTTTCATCATTTTTTACAGGAACAAAAGTGGAAGATGCAAAAGCATTAATGGGTGCCAGTGATCTGAAAATAATTGCTTGTGATAATTTAGATGAAGCAGCCAAAATGGTAAATATTGTATTATTATGAAACACTAGCAGACTTTACCCTTTGTTTTAAAAGCACACATGTTCTTATGCTGGATGTTAACTTGACAGTGATAAAACAGAACAATGAACAGAATTGATTTTTTCAATTTAAACAGATTTTACTTTATATTGTCCTTAAAAAATTTTTGGTCGAAGACAGATGGTTTCCGGATAATAACTTTAGTATAAGTAAATAGAAATCAATAAAATTTAAATTCAAGGTTTATAACCACTAAGGGAAGGTTGGGATTGATTTTGGGGGTTATGGTCCCAACTGTTTAGGAATTAGGGGCCCAAATAAGCATTTTTGTAGTTTCCAGACTATAACTTGTGTTAAAGTGTATGAATCTCTCTGAAATTATACCACAAGTTTCCATACTACAAAGGGATGGTTAGGATTGACTTTGGGGGGTTATGGCTCAAACCATTTAGGAATTAGGGGCAAAAAAAGGGGAAAAACAAGGGTTTTTCTGTTTAAAGGACAATTGAGACAATTTAAAAGCAGTGTAAGGGAGGTAATCCAAATCAAAATCCAAATCAATTTAAATAACAATGTTTGATTACCTCCCTTACACTTCTTGTAAATTATGTATTAAGAAATGATTGTCTGAGATACTGACCATAACTTGAGGGAAAGAATTATTTTTTGGAATAAGGGAAAGGGAGGAGGTGAAAAAAAATTGGAGGTGGACAATTTTTCTCATTTCAGATTTCAGAAATTAAAAGAAAATTTCTTCAAATATTTTTTTTGGGGGGGTTAATATTCAACAGCATAGTGTAATGCACAAACGCCAAAAAATGGGGTAAAATTTTTTTTTTTTTTTGGGGGGGGGGGGGGGGGGGGGTCAATTCGCATAGTGTATTGCACAAAAGCAAAAAATTGAATATAAATTCAAATCATATAACCAATTTGAAGTTCTTTGACTACAGTTATTCTGTGTCAGAAACCTATTATGTGTCAAAAATTTAATTACAATGCAAATTCAGACCTGTATCAAGCATGAATATTGTGTCCATTTTGGCCCCAAATTTTCAGGGTTGGACATCTGGGGTCGTATACAGCTGCGCTCAGCAAAGCAATTTATTTTTTAAATCAAGTCAAAAATGTTGTGGTTGTGTCATTGTGTAATTGTTAGATGTAAGTTGTTGTCATCTTTGATTTGAATTTCAACATTTTAACAGATTTAATATACCCCTTTGCTTGTTGTAGTTCAGTTGTTCTTTAGGTTAATATGGATATAAGGAGATGTAGCTATATATAGTGTAAGCCCAATTATGCATTTTTTTTATATGCCTGTGAACAACTGAGGTATAATGTTATGCAATTGTCTGTCTACAAGAGTCAAGATTTTATGAACTGACTTGAGTATATATATGTCTATAGAGGTAACTTCAAATTATAAAGAAGGGTGGTCTGAGGGTCTGTATTTGTTTTGACAAATTTCACTTTTGTCATTCCAGAGTTACAGGACTTGGATCATAAAAAAATCCACTATCAATATGGTCAGTGATGACTCTTTTTTATACCCCTCCCATGATGGTATGTGCTTCAGTCCGTCCGTTCTGAATCTGGTTAAAGTTTTGGTTAAGGTAGCTTACTGTGATGTTGTGTTCTCATCAGCTTGAAACCTAGTACACATATATAAAAATAAGGAGATTTGGTATGATTGCCAATGAGACAACAGTTACTATCCACCAGAGTTCAAATGAAGTGGATGTAAGCAATTATCTTTAATTATTTAACCCATTTCAACATCCATGTTCAAACAATTAAATGGCAAAATATCTTTGGATATAGTATTGGCTTGTAAAAACAAATGTTTATAATAATCTAATATTTGTTTCTGTTTTCAGGCTGTGAAATTGTCTACAATTGTAGGACTTGCTAAAGAAGTAGATGTGAATGTGAAATTTGAACTGCCATTATAGATTGTTTTTGTTATTAGGTTTTAAATATTTATATAAAAAAAATGACACCCCCATGTTCAGTCTCTGATGGTTATGGAATACAATTTTTTGCATTGCCTGTCAAACATACTCACAGCTGGTTTCATTTTAAAATTATCATTTAAACACACAACAGATACATGATGTTTCAGAAGATGAATGAATTAGCCAGAGAAAAAATATATCATTGGCTTCTGATGTATTTTATCTATTGAATACCTCTATTATTTATTTATTTGTTTGATGAAGCATGCTTCCCACCTGTTGATTAACATCTTATTTATGGTCTTATGATAATTTTGAACTAAGTGTATTAATTTACTTGCCACTTCTGTATGTCATCATAAAGATTACAATATTTTTGTATGTTTCTAACTAAAATGATATCTAATTTCTATAAATAGAGTGTCATTAGTTTCTCTGTATAAATATATCACATTATTAATAATTTGGCTTCTGAATTTGAATAAACAAGTAAAATATTATGACATGAATGAAATATCCTAATAAAATTAAATATCAAAGAATAAATTTGAATTTAAAAATAATTTATAAAATTAATGAAATCCTAATAAATCAAACTCATATATATTTAATTTTATGAGCATTGTTTGGAACAGAGATTGATTTGTGAACAGGTATCTTTAGTTGGATTTTCATCTGTTTTTGGTTAATAAGAAAAACAGAATTAATACTATCACTTAAAGCATCTAGATAATGCACTTTTTTACATCTCTAAATAAAAATACTTATTACAAAGACGTATACATCCACCTTTGTCAAATTATAAATAATCTGTCCTTGTAACAGCTCATATAAGAAAAAAAACATAAACTATTTGTAAGCTTCATGTTGATGCACAGCTTGTGGAACTCAATTCAATTTTATACGGTTAACGGTTAACGTATTGCTCCATTGTCCATATGTAACGTTCACTAAGTTAATTCTCATTCTGAATTGCCCATGCTGGATACATGGGTTTTCTTATTTCACTGACAAGCCAAGTGGTTGATGAAGTATAAATATGACAGGGATAATAATTATTCCTAATAGTTTTGGTTTGTTTCAAGTATAATTTAATTGAAGCATAATAAGATTTTCTCAAAGATACTGCTTTTGCCTATTGTTTTCTTTATATGTAAAACTTTATCAACATTATTAAAATTTTATACTTTACTTACTGCAGTCTATCTATTTATAATTTTACAGCAATTACTTTGAAGTATTAGTTATTATTTTTTGTACAGGTTTTACTGTATAGTCTCATTTGAAAAAACTTCTAAATGTAATAAATAGCCAAAAATATGTTCAGTTTATTTCAGTAGTAAACTGGACTTAGGACAGGTGTTATCTTTCATACAAACCTATTGGTAAATCCTAGTGTTAAAGTTTGCACATACAAAGGAGAAGATATATATATATTTTGAGGATTATCTAGTCCTGTGAAATTATCAGAAATTAAAAAATGAATTGTATCATTATAGTTGTCACTTTTTTAAATGCCTGAATAATGGTCTGTGGAAAGATGTAAAATACCAGCTTCTGCTTCATAACACAATTTGAATTACGGCTGCTAGTTTTCTTTATAAAGTGATTAATATTTTAAGAACATTTAATGCTAAATTATTATGTAGCACAAATGTTGCCCATGAGTATTTTCTGCCAGTGAGTAAATAACCATGGAATACAATTACTGTATATATATCTTTTAGGCAAGATATATATTTCACAGTAGTTTGGTTGAAATCCTCTGTCTTTTAGTAGTTTCCCAATTCTGATTGTACTGGCTTTTTATGACTGGATTGCCAATAAAAAGGGGAAAAAATTTATCAGAAATGAACTGTTCTATTGAAGCTCGTAAATTCAAGTTAATTCTGCAAATCTGAGAAATTTTGGAGACATATTTGAAGTTAAGGGCAATTTGGTATCAAAACTTATCCTCTCCTTTATGAGCAAACAAGACTCAGGGTCTTTATCACAACTGACATCCTAAAGCATATAAAAAGATAAACATATATAGGCAAGTTTCACAGTTTTGTTGGTGATATAATTTATGATTGGATATTAATCAATGAACAAGGTGGCATACATATAGAACCATTAAATGTCTGTAAAAAGTTTATTGAATAAATTAAATTTGTAAATATTTGTTTGTATAATTCACATACTCAACAGTTAACATGACCACTAGTATAAGATTGAGATATTTTAAACACTATGATTCCACACTGGCATCAAGTAGGCTTTTTATGCAAGTGTTTTAAATATCCAGAACAAGGAGGTGAAGATGCAGGATCTTTTAGTTTTCTACAACATTGTACCAATTGTTCTATAACATCTTTGCATGATTCCATTTTGTAATTATTAGCTACAAAAAAAGTAAAGAAGGTTCATTAAATTACCACATATAAGACATTCAAATTGACTGCAATCACAATATAGCTGTTACAATTTTACCAAATATTTAAACTCTGAAACCTTTTGCAGAGTTTGTTCTGATACATGCAAACAGTTTAGACAGGATTCCAATTTATGCCTGTCTCAGTTTATACAGGTTTTTTGTGTGCTTTTTGTCCCAATGCAGACCATTTTACTATTTATTGGAGTTAAACTTATCAAATGTTATGCAATAATTTCTTACACAAAAAAAAGGATTAATTCACGGTAGTCATGAATTTGTAAGGGGAAAAAGCAGAGGAATTTTTCTCTAACTGCAAAACTTGTGATTGTTTAACAGAAGTGTGGGTTCATTGTCCTTTTAAAACTTTTAATGAATAACTCAAAATGCCAAAAAGTGCTCGCATTGCATCTATGCCTATATCAAAAGACATTCACCTAATAATACTGCTTGGGAAAAAAAAACAACAACATAGAAACATATTTGGAACTGTTTTAGTCCCAACACAAAATTGTAACAGGTGCACATTACTAAGCTTGTCGTTGGCTATTTAAACCAAAAAATCACTGATTCAAAAGAGTGTTGCAACATGTTCTGAAACCGTGTTCGACACAAAAATGTTGGGAAACGCCTTTTGAAACTCAATTTTGAAAAAAGAGGACAGCAGTTCAAGGACCTAAAATTACATGTAATTATGTCAAAATTAATTGTCCTTTAGTTATTTAAGTGGTCTAGGATTAAAGACTTGTATCCTGCTGAAGACATTTTCACTCCTGAAAATATTTATTTGAATTGTCAACCGTGTTTACTTTATTATACATATGATCCCAAAGTTACTTCTACAAAACTGGGACGGATGAGAATTAAGACCGTGTTTTTCAACCCAAAACCGTAAGTAGAGAAGATATGCCGCAATCCAATCGAAATTCCGACTATGTAGTTTCTAGTATGGGATCCTATTTAAAATCTTGGTCTATTGGTAGCTTGCTCACCACGAGTGTTGTGGGTCTTAGGTTAAACAGTTGGATTTAACCAAGGACTTCTAAACGTTTATATGTCCTGCTGCTTTAGGCATAAGACATCAGTCGACTAGGAGTCGGAATAATGTGTTTAATGTCTGACCCGACAGAAGTAGAACCCACGAGCTCCTGCACTCGAGTAGGCTGATAGTTGGAGCACGCCACAACGATACCCTAAACTCTCTAGACACGTTATGAATGAATGCAAATGAAGTCTCAGTCGGATAATCTGCCATTATCTCCAAAATGTTAATGTTGTCAAACGTTGTAAGACAAATAAACGTTTTGCTTTGTTGAAATCACTATAATGTATTGAAATAATAACCACTGAAGGTTCCTAATTTTGGGGACAGTCAATAAAACAAAAAACAAAAAAAAACGTTAAACCAGTTTTGTGAGACATACCTTACCCCATTTCAAATTCAATCAGCCGTATACAAAAAAAGCTAGAGACAACGAAATACGATAAAATTTAGTCCAGATAAAAAAAAACCATTAATAAATTTAAATAACCAGATGACAAAAACACAAACTAACACAAATCTCAATATTCAATAAAAATATTAATCTGCAACATTTTAACAATTGAACCTTCTACACCCCTTGACCCTGTACTTCAATCAAAGGAATACGACGAAAAAAAATGCAATTAATTCGACACTTCAGACGACAAAAACTTCAAAATCAATATCGTAGAATAAACCCTACAGAAACCATTAATATATTAAGATGCTGAATAACAAAATATATATCGTATATCTGAAATGGGAGCGTCAGATCCGGATTTAGGAGTGCCATAGGCGGATCCAGGGGGGGGGGGGGGACCTGGGGGGCCCGGGCCCCCCTTTTGTGGCAAAAATTTGGTTGATTATATAGGGAATCACTGAAGCATGACTGGAGCGGGCCCCCTTAGGTCAGTCAGCGCCCCCCCCCCCCTTATGAAAAGTTCTGGATCCGCCACTGAGTGCCTCCCTTGTGGAACTACAAAAATGGTGAATGCATAGACTTTTTACAAGTACCACTTCTAACGCTGACTTGTTGGTGCCCCCTTTTCAATCCGAGAGATGCACCTAACAATATACAATGTTCTTTCTTCTTTAACTTTATAATATTACCTTGGAGACAATCTTGTATCTTGCAAGCATATCTTTGACAAGGGTCTGGTCTGGACATGAGGTAACAATGTTTTCACTGTGGATTTTTTGTTGCTATAAAGTTTCTTAAATGTAAAAGAAATCAAATCTTTTATATAATCTGGCTACAAACAAACCAAACGACAAAAATTATTGGGTTCTTGTAGAACCAAATTTTTTTTTTTTTTATCTTTCTTAATTTTCCCTACCTTCTATTACTGACAATCTTAATTATAACGATAGAATTTCTGTAAGTTTAGTTTTTATTTCATCTGTATATATAAAAAAAGTGACAATTCAAAAGAACATTTACTAATAATAGTAAGCAATTTGGCAAATTTCGCATTAGTACCGACTAGGTTGCAATCATGTTATTTTTTATTTGTAAAACGAGTTGTCGAGCATGTATGAGTTGTTGCATTCATTTGTCGCTGAAAAGGTTAAACTAGTGGATCTAATTTTTTATACGACCGCAAAAAAATTTGCGGTCGTATATTGGTATGACGTTGGCGTCGTCGTCCGGCGTCGTCGTCGTCGTCCGAAGACACATTGGTTTTCGCACTCTAACTTTAGTTTAAGTGAATTGATCTCTATGAAATTTTACCATAAGATTCAATACCACAAAAGGAAGGCTGGGATTGATTTTGGGGGTTATGGTACCAACAGTTAAGGAATTAGGGGCCAAAAAGGGGCCAAAAATAAGCATTTTCTAGTTTCCAGACAATAACTTGTGTGTTAGTGTATGGATCTCTCTGGCATTGTACCACAAGGTTCCATATCACAAAGGGAATGCTGAGATTGATTTTGGGGGTAATTGCCCAAAACGTTAAGGAAAAAGGGGCCAAAAATAAGCATTTTTCTAGTTTCCAGACAATAACTTGTGTTCAAGTGTATGGATCTCTCTGAAATTGTATTGCAAGGTACCATACCACAAAGGGAAGGCTAGGATTGATTTTGGGGGTAATTGCCTCAAACGTTTAGGAATAAGGGTCAAAAAGGGGCCAAAAATACGCATTTTTCTAGTTTCCAGACAATAACTTGTGTTCAAGTGTATGGATCTCTCTGAAATTGTATTGCAAGGTACCATACCACAAAGGGAAGGCTAGGATTGATTTTGGGGGTAATTGCCTCAAACGTTTAGGAATTAGGGGCCAAAAAGGCGCCAAAAATAAGCATTTTTGTAACTTCCAGACAATAACTTGTGTGTTAGTGTATGGATCTCTCTGACATTTTACCACAAGGTTCCATATCACAAAGGGAATGCTGGGATTGATTTTTGAGGTAATTGCCACAAAGTATTAGGAATTAGGGGACAAAAAAGGGACAAAAAACAAGCATTTTTCTAGTTTCCAGACAATAACTTGTGTTCAAGTGTATGGATCTCTCTGAAATTGTATTGCAAGGTACCATACCACAAAGGGAAGGCTAGGATTGATTTTGGGGGTAATTGCCTCAAACGTTTAGGAATTAGGGGCCAAAAAGGCGCCAAAAATAAGCATTTTTGTAACTTCCAGACAATAACTTGTGTGTTAGTGTATGGATCTCTCTGACATTTTACCACAAGGTTCCATATCACAAAGGGAATGCTGGGATTGATTTTTGAGGTAATTGCCACAAAGTATTAGGAATTAGGGGACAAAAAAGGGACAAAAAACAAGCATTTTTCTAGTTTCAGGACAATAACATGCGTGTAAGTGTATGGATCTTTCTGAAATTGTACTACAAGGTTCCATATCACAAAGGGAAAGCTGGAATTGAGTTTGGGAGTAATTGCTCAAAATTTTATGAATAAGGGGCCAAAAAGGCCAAAAATAAGTATTTTTCTAGTTTCCAGACAATAACTTGTGTTCAAGTGTATGGATCTCTCTGGAATTGTACTGCAAGGTACCATACCACAAAGGGAAGGCTGGGATTGATTTTGGGGGTAATTGCTCAAAATTTGAGGAATTAGGGGCCAAAAAGGGGCAAAAAACAAGCATTTTTCTAGTTTCAGGACAATAACTTGTGTGTAAGTGTATGGATCTTTGTGAAATTGTACTAAAAGGTTCCATATCACAAAGGGAAAGCTGGGTTTGAGTTTGGGAGTAATTGCCCTAAACGTTTAGGAATTTGAGGCCAAAAAACAAGCATTTTTACAGTTTCCAGACAATAACTTGTGTTCAAGTGTATGGATCTCTCTGAAATTGTACTGCAAGGTACCATACCACAAAGGGAAGGCTGGGATTGAGGTTGGGGGTGATGAATCATAAGGGGGTTCAAAAATTGGGCGGGGGATTTTTTTCCTTTGAAATTTTCCATTTTAAGTTGGTTATTTTTTATTTATATATGAAAGCAAATAATAATGATATGGTTTGATTTCATCAAAAATTGAAATATTAGGGTTCTTTGATATGCTGAATCTAACCGTGTATTTAGATTCTTAATTTTTGGTCCCGTTTTCATATTGGTCTACATTAAGGTCCAAAGGGTCCAAAATTAAACTTAGTTTGATTTTAACAAAAATTGAATTCTTGGGGTTCTTTGATATGCTGAATCTAACCGTGTATGTATTTAGATTTTGGATATTGGACCATAATAGGTAAATTAAAAAAATTTAAGTTCTTAGACCACATTCATTCTGTGTCAGAAACCTATGCTGTGTCAAATATTTAATCACAATCCAAATTCAGAGCTGTACCAAGCTTGAATGTTGTGTCCATACTTGCCCCAACTGTTCAGGGTTCGACCTCTGCGGTCGTATCAAGCTGCGCCCAGCGGAGCATTTTATTTATTTTATTGCAAACATCTTTAGAATTTAAAAATTCACAGAAGCAATATATATAAGAGTTATTAACTTGTTTTTAATTATCACACAATTATGTATTACGAATACTGAATGGATGCCACTGCTGGTGAACTGTAAGTGCCATAGGGTATCACTAGTGCTTTAGAACTTGTCCAAAATTACGTTTATATACGTGAGAAATATCCATTGCAGGATCACAAACGATGTTAAATCTGTTCAAAGTTAAGGTTATCTTCTTGATGCTCATGTTTTCTTTGATGGGTTTGATAATCCAATTTTTGTTGTGTGTAGCTATATAATTGTAAATAATAAAACTAAAATATTTGCAAGATTTATTGCCTGGCTATGTCAGTGGTCGACACGACCACAGTACAAAACAAAGTAATAAGCAGTTCTATTAGAATATAGCAACGTGCTCTCGACCAATAAAAGTGTAGAATTTGGTGTTCCTTAATTGTGAAGAATGAATGTAAATTATGTTCTTAGTAAGGGATTATCCATTGTTTAGGCCTATTTACAGTTCAAAACAAAGAATTTCTATAAAAGAGTTACCACTGCCCGAAGCACATTTATCAGGTAGACAGGATTATTGATTGAAAATTGAATTTTGGAAAAAAAAAATCAGAATAAGTTTGATCTTGCAATATCAAAGCAATGCAAAAGAGAAGAAAACGGGAAAAAAAATCTTTTAAAATTAAATATTTAGTTACCTAAATCTTTATCTAATGTGGTTACCAAAACTCAGATTATTGTATCCGCAGTTAATAAGAATAGTCATTTCCATTATAACGGTTATAGTATTTGGTGTAAAAAGCTGGAATACAATTTGCTGTGGAATACAATTTAGTTGTAATTCTAATTTTGAATTTATTCAATTTTGAACTGTAACGAAACAAAAGGATAATTCCTCACTAAAATATTACATAATGTACACGCATACTCACAATTAGTAAACTTGTACAATTTCTACCATTTCATTGTACCGTTGTGTCATCTAACGTCTACAACACACTGATGATTTATAAAATGTCCCAAATTATAAGTAAGTCCTTACACCACTAAGACTAATACATATATAAAATGCCTAAAAAGGAAGTCATGCAATTATAAACATTGCGCTGACAATAAAACTAATTCTTGATTGAAACCAATCAAGAGATCATTTGAGCCTTGAGCACTTTACAATATTCTAAGTTTGTAAGAGAATGATAATCGGCCCTTTCTTCATGATAAGTACTCGCTAACGCTCGTACTTAATCAAGAAGAAAGGGATTATCATGCTCTTACATATGCTTAGAGGTGAAATCCCGTACAAAACGCAAGTGGATGGGGCTGTCGAACTGTGAATTTAAATTCAGGGATAATTGGCCTTATCTTCACAGAAGCCTATCTAATTATCTATTGGACCCAATCCTCACAGATATATATATATATATATATATATATATATAAACAAGTCTAAATTGAAAACAACGTTCAAACCTATGATTGCGTTGGATAAAAACTGCAATTTTTATACGTGTGCATGCAAAACAAATTTCTTTGTAGAGGGGTCTAAATACAGCACAAACAACATTTTCCAAAAGACCAAATGAGTGAAAAAGTATATTTTAACAAAACGCATTTGACTAGCAGGTCGAACAACTGATGTTCCTAAACCCTGCTGACTGCCATAGACGATTGCCAAATAAACGGATCACAAGATGTAACAAAACAGATCTTATTATTAAATTATTACCAAACAGAAAACAGTAAACTTGCGGAAAAGATGGAATACCGCAAACATGAGGTGCAAAAATTTGTACACCATATCCGGATTTCGACAATTAATGTCTCTTCAGTGATGTTAGGAATCGAAACGGTATTTGGAAGGCCATATAATTTACCTCAATTTAGGATAGACTCTTGAATTTTGAAAGAGTCAAAATAGGATGAACGGATCATATCAACCCGAAGGCAAATATAATACAAGCCCAAACGAAAAAATATAAACAAGTCTAAATTGAAAACAACGTTCAAACCTATGAAAGCGTTGGATAAAAACCGCAATTTTTATACGTGTGCATGCAAAACAAATTTCTTTGTAGAGGGGTCTAAATACAGCACAAACAACATTTTCCAAAAGACCAAATGAGTGAAAAAGTATATTTTAACAAAACGCATTTGACTAGCAGGTCGAACAACTGATGTTCTTAAACCCTGCTGACTGCCATAGACGATTGCCAAATAAACGGATCACAAGATGTAACAAAACAGATCTTATTATTAAATTAATTATTACCAAACAGAAAACAATAAACTTGCGGAAAAGATGGAATACCGCAAACATGAGGTGCAAAAATTTGTACACCATATCCGGATTTCGACAATTAATGTCTCTTCAGTGATGTTAGGAATCGAAACGGTATTTGGAAGGCCATAT